AGAGGTTGCTCATTGTCCTCTTGCATCTGTTCTCTCTTTCTTCTGTGTATTCTAAGGTCCCAGCCCTTATTTTTAACAAGGCACATGGCTGTCCTGCTAGAGACTTGTCTCTCTTATAACTTGGTCTGGCCGTGTGCCCAAGCTATGGCCAGTGGAATATAAGCAAAAGTGATGTGTATAGTTTCCACATGACTTCCTGAAAAGGAAATTGTTTGCTTCCTACTTCCTTCTCTTACCTTCTGTGGACAGGATATGCTGGTGAGTCAGTTTTGCTCATGCAGATGAGGACAAGCCCCAAGGGGAAGGCTGAGCCACAAGATGAAAGGAACTTGAGTCCCTGATAACTGTGGAGTAGAGTCCCCTACTCACTCTGGGTTGTCCTTCTACCTTTTGATTGTCATGTGAGAAGGAAGGAAACATCTACCTTTTTAAAGCTACTATATTTGAGTACCTGTTTTATAGAGAGCAGCTTAGCTGGACTCCTAAAGGATATTCACTTACAGTCAATGAGAAATTCATTTTCTTTACGTGCAGACACTTTCCCCATAATTTTTTGGAACAAAGCAGGAATGGTAGGGTAAGTTTCAGGGAAAAGAAGGACAGTATTGCTTCTTGGGATTTTAGAGTTCTGTTTTCTCACTGAGGCAAGATGGCACATTTACATGTTCTCTTCCAGGAACTTAATTCCATTCATATTGGCAAACATTTATTGAGTGCCTATTGTGTGTAAAACACTTGTAGGAGTCCCTAGAGATGAAACAGACACAGTCCCTGCCCTCAAGGAGCTCACAATCTACTAGGGAAGGCAGCACAAATCCACCAACAAATGCACTAGAAGGTAGGATGCATAGAGATACAAGTTAATTCTATGGGAGCATAGAGCAGGGAGAGAGGATTCCATAGGGACAGGAAAAGGACGAAGACTATCAGGAGGAATTTATAGAAGAGATTTCATTTGAACTACATTTTGAAGAATTGGTGGGAGAAAGATGGAAACCGTGGCAGTCAGATTTCTGAAGCAATGGGAACAAATGTGAGAGGAGCTTAGAAAGCATAGGTAATATTCAGACTTTTCTGGAGTATGAGGTGGGTGAGACGTGACATAAATTAGGTTCATGCAAAAGTAATTTTGGTTTTTGCATTCTTGATTCTTGCCATTTGATATTGGAATACATTCTTAAATAAATGTGATCCTGTTATACCTTATTTTAATGTGCATTTCTCACTTTTTTTGCTAATGACTTATTACTTACTGCTATTTTATAATTATTTTAGACTATGGCAAGGATGTTAGACAAAAAGCAAATTCAAGCGACGTTCTTGTTCAAAATGGGTCATAAGGCAGCAGAGACAACTCACAACATCCGCAATGCGTTTGGTCCAGGAACTGCTAACAAATGCAGTGGTGGTTCAAGAGGTTTTGCAAAGGAGATGAGAGCCTTGAAGATGAGAAGCACAGCGGCTGGCCATCGGAAGTTGACAACGAACAACTGAGAGCAATTATTGAAGCGGCTCCTCCAACAACTACATCAGAAATTGCCGAAGAACTCAGTGCTGACCATTCTATGTTTGATCAACATTTTAAGCAAATTGGAAAGGTGAAAAGCTCAATAAATGGGTACCTCATGTACTGACTGAGAATAAAAAAAAATCATTGTTTCGAAGTGTTGTCTTCTTTTATTCTACACAACAACAATGAACTATTTCTAGATTGGATTGTGATGTCTGATGAAAAGTGGATTGTATGCAACAACTGGTGCTGACCAATTCAGTAGTTCCACTAAGAAGAAACTGCAAAACATGTCCCAAAGCCAAACTTGAACCAAAAAAATAAATAAATAAATAAAGGGTCACGGTCGCTCTTTGGTTGTCTGCTGCCAGTCTGATCCACTATAGCTTTCTGAATTCCAGCAAAACCATTACATCTGAGAATTATGCTCAGCAAATTGATGAGATGCACTGAAAACTGCAACACCTGCAGCCGGCATTGGTCAACAGAGAGGGCTCAATTCTTCTCCACGACAATGCATGATTGCATGTCACACAACCAATGCTTCAAAAATTGAACGAATTGGGCTACGAAGTTTTCCTCATGCACTATATTCTGACTTCTCATCAATTGACTACCACTTCTTCAAGTATCAACAACTTTTTGCAGGGACAACCAGCAGGATGCAGAAAATGCTTTCCAAGAGTTCATCGAATCCTGAAGCATAGATTTTTATGCTACAGGGATAAACAAACTTGTTTCTCATTGGCAAAAATGTGTTGATTGTAATGGTTTCTATTTTGATTAATAAAGGTGCATTTGAGCCTAATTATAATGATTTAGAATTTATGGTCCCAAACCACAATTACTTTTGCACCAACCTAATAACTCTGGGAAGGTAGTTTGGAGCCACATAGTGAAGGCTGCTTGAATGTTATACTAAGAAATCTTAATTTACTTTATACTAATGGGGAAAGAGTAGAGAATTTTGAGTAATGCAATTAAAAATCAACTGTATGCTCAAACTTTAGTTTATATCAGAGTCTCCTGGGAGGGGTTTGCTAAAAACAGAGATTGATGGATCCCACCCTTAAAAATTTTGATTCAATAGGTCTTGAGTGGAACCTAGACTTTGTATTTTGAGCAAGTCCCAGGTGATGCCAATGCTGCTAGTCTGAAGATGCCAGTCTCACACTGTTCTAGGAAGATGTTTCTGGCAGATGTGTGGGGGCAGAGTTGTAGGTGGAGGAATCCAGAGGCAACTGGACCAAATAAGATTTGGCCCAGGTGAGAGAGCTCAATTACTGGGGAACAAGGTGGCATGTACAAACACTTCTGCAGAGATAGATGGGCCAGACTTTAAGGCTATCTGGATGTGGGAGACCTGCAACAGAGAGAGAATTACATTTATCTAATAGGAATGATAGAAAGTGTGGTAACTTGACACTGAGAAGGTAGAAGGAAGAGAAGGCTTGAGTGTGGGAAAATGATGAGTTCAGTTCAGAAGACTGTGTTTAAGGTACTGATAAAATATTCATAGGGAGATGCTCACCAGACAATTAATGAGTCTAGAGTTTGAGAAAGAGAGAGATCAGAACTAAAGCCACACATTTAGGAGACACGGGCACAGACTAATGGTTGAAATGATAGAGGTTGAGATGGAATATGGGGATATGGGAGGTGAGTGCTGAAGACAAAGCCTCAGGATGAAGAAAAGACACAGAGGAGGCAAGGAAGTAGTTGGAGAACTAAGAGAGTAAATATCCCAGAAGGTATGGGCTTGAACAAGAAAGAGATGGTTAGCTATTTCAACTGATGAGAAAATGAGAGGTAGGTAAGGACAGAGGGAAAGCCCCTGGATTTTCCTATTGGCAAGTCACCAGTGACCTTTGGAAGATCAGTTTGGGGGCAACTGGGGCATACTCCGGAAGGCAAAAGGGGAGAAAAGTCAGTGGAAGGTGGAAGTGGAGTCGGAATGAATGGATTGATGGTTGTAGAAACTCAGGTGGGAGAGTTGGGCGGGAGATGAAACAGGAGTTTGATGGGGAAGCAGGGCCAGAGGAAGTTGATTTTAGTGTCCAAGAGTCTTGAGAAACGTAATAGATGAGACCGAAGAAGAGTGGGGAGGAAAAAGGTAGGGTGGGAGAGGGAGAAGGAAGAAAGATTCCTGACAATTTGAGAGAGGAGAGAGGATAGATTGAAGGAATGAAATATTCAATCTATATTGACAAAGAGGAGACAAAGAGGAGGCAAATTGATGTCTTTTCATGAAACAAAGAAGAGTGAGAAGATGGGGAGAGACTGTGGATGAGAGATATGAAGGGTAGAGGTGGAGAACAGTCGCCTACGTAGGAGTATACAGGAATCTACACACTTTCAGTGCTTCTGCTATCACTCTTGTCTTTGTTGTGGTGTGCTCCCGTGCGTGACTCAAGCCGTCACTCCCGCTCAGGTGAGCCTGAGTCAGGCCACGCCACGGGGCCCCAGGGCCCACTTGCAGTCTCCTGGCCTCAGAGTACAGGCTGGCATGGAAGCCACAGGGGGCCCGGGAGATGCAATTTCATGCTCGTGTCCTGGTGAGTGGCCTTTGCTGTAAACACAGGTTTTCAACTTTTTATTTCTTTCCAAGAGCACAAACACGTACTTAATAACATTCTCCAGCAGAATTTTTCAGATAATACATTTCCTCATTTGATCACTGCACCTCATTAAGCTTCTTTTTTTTTTTTTGAGTTGGAGTCTCACTCTGTCCCCCAGACTGGAGTGCAGTGGCCACTCCCAGCCACCTCAGCCTCGACCCGCTGGTCTCCGGCGGTCCTTCCGCCTCAGCCTTCCAAGTAGCTGGAACTACAGACGTGTGCTGCCACGCCTGGCTAGTTTTTTGATTTATTGTAGAGATGAGGTCTGGCCAAGTTGTCCAGGCGGGTCTTGAACCCGTGGGCTCAGGCAATCCACTCACCTCAGCCTCCCAAAGGCGCGGGATTACAGGCTGAGTCACCGAGCCCTGCTCTCATTAAGCTTCTTACACAGTTTTCCGAATTTGACACATGCTCCCACCTTAGTCCTGCTAGAGGGAGAGTGTAGGGGAGGCTCAGCTGGGAATACTTTTCCGAATGGGAGGAGGCCCAGTTTGTCTATCAGGTAGCACAGCAACACACTGACCAAACCAGATTTGGATGATTTCTTATGTGCTTATTTTTGTATTCATAGTGATTTCTTTTAACAAAAGAGGAAAGTTTATTTAATCGTGAGCTATAAAGGACAAGCCAGTTATACCCTTTGTACCTGAAAGGAGCAGTCTATGTAGTCGCAGTGTTATAGTCAACGACTTGAGCTGAGGTCTGCAAGCAGTAGACGACAGCACATCACTTTCTTTTTATACTTTATGTAGTCATGCGGTTCCCACTGGAGTATGTATGCAGATAGAGCCATAGCCTCAGATTTAATGCCACACAAGGGTAAGTTATCAGATATTCGATGCATAAGTAATAAGAAGTTCTGCAAATAAAGGTATTTTTTGGCATTATTTAATTGCAGGGTAACTGAAATGGTTAAAAAAACATAAAAAGTATTTACTGTTTTACCTTATTATTTACTTCTTTGAAATTTCTGTTTTTGTATGATGTTTATTTGAAATTATATACCACAGATAAGATCAGAGGTAGAAAACAGCACACCAAACAACAAGCCCCAAACCAAACAGAGCAAAACAAACAAACAAGACAACAAGCCCACACATACTTACAAACTCTCCTGAACTGAGTATGTTCAAGAATGAGTAAATTGCACCCCTTACCCCCACCCACTCATGAGGCTCTGGTAAAAGTCATGTCTTTTTGGCTTTTTACAGTCTAAGTGTGCTCACGGCACCTGATGAGCTTTTTAAAAGCCAGCTTAAAGTCTTCATTAAAACTTGTGTAGAGCAGAGGGTTGATCAGAGAATTAACATAACCTAGCCATGTCAGAAAATCGGCCACTTCAGAAGACACGGTGTGTATGCTCAGACCTACAATCAGCTCTTTGATGAAAAATGGTAGCCAGGACAAAATGAATGCACCCAAAATCAGTCCCAGGATGCGTGCGGCTTTGCGTTCCCTGGTGCTCGAGATTTGCTGCCGCTCTCCTGGATGATCGAGATCATTGTCAAAGGGAGGGATCCTGATGGAGGTGTGGAACTTTTCAAACTCTGTGGTAGGGTCTGAGGTGGAGATATCAGACACACAGAAAGTCTGTGTAAGCTTACAGCTTGCGAAAGAATTCTGGCTATCGGTGCTCCTGTTGCTTAAGTGCCGGCTCGATCCCCTTTTCTGGTAGAGGCTCTTGGCTGCGTGGTAAATCCGGTAATAGAGAATCAGTATCAAAGTCAAGGGGATGTAAAACGCCCCCAGTGTGGAGTACACGGTGTAGATGACGTGGTCGTGTTGGATGGTGCACTGGCTGGGGGGTGGGCTGAGCCGGCGGCGGCTCCTCCAGAACAAAGGGGGCATGGAAATGAAGATGGAGATGGTCCAGACGGTGAGGACCATCAGGGCGGCCCTCTTGGCTGTCCTCTTCCTGGCATATTCAATTGCGTTGGTGATGGCCCAGTACCTGTCGAGGGCGATCACACAGAGATGGAGGATGGAGCAGGTGCAACAGGTCATGTCCACACTCAGCCACACCTCGCAGAGGAAGTACCCGAGCTTCCAACTGTCCATGACAATGTACATGATGCTCAGGGGCATGACAAGCACGGCCACCAGGAGGTCCGTCACGGCCAGAGAGCAGATCAGGTAGTTGGCGGGCTGGTGGAGCTTCTTGGTGGTGCAGATGGCCATGATTACGGCCGAGTTCAGCAGTGTGGTCAGCGTGGTGATGACCACCAGAGTCACGCAGATGAGCATCTTCTCAGTGACAGTCTTAGGTCTCACAGCCATGCTGGCTTCTGCGGTACAGTTTGTGATGTTCATGCTTCCCCGGTTTCAGTCTACACCGTGGAGAAGCTGTTGCTTATTTTCCTTCAGCTGGGAACTATGCAGCCTTGAATGTCTCTCATCTGGAAGGAGGCTATAATTGCTTCAGCTACATCGTATCTTGGGTTCCATTTTCTGTGGGTGAAGGGAAGGGCCACAGCATTTCGTCCAAATGGAGGGTTCCTGGAAAATATTACACTACTGGTTAATGAATGAGAAAGACACGTTTCCTGAAACACATGATGACATTTTGGTATTCATAAATTCTTTATATATTTTAATATTCTATTTACTCTCTGCAATTTGATGTATCTTTGACATTTTCCTCAAAATATACTTTTATTTTGAGGTAAGTTTCAAACTTTTTCTGATGAACACATTACTAAGTTTTAAGTCTACCTTGCCACCTTAATTCGTTTCTTGCTTATAATTGTTCTTTTAAGAATATCTATAAGTAAGAAGGTTTTTTTTACATTTGAAAACATATATTCACATTATATAATATGTCAAAAATTCTGACAGGATTTCCGGCATGATGGCAATGGAACAGGTCAGACTGTGAGGGTCTGCAAAAGCGAATGTCCGTAAAGACTCTCTGTGTGAGTGGGTGTGTGTCAGTGATAAGTGAAAGTCAGTCTGAGAAGAGACTTGGGTTCATGCATCCAGGGTTCTCCTCCAGAGATGACTGCAACCCCCCACTGCCCTGAGATCGGGGAGCCCCTGGCCCGCAGGATCGCCTGCTGTTCTCGGGGCTCTCCCGTGGAAGGCAGCTGGTCTTCACCACCCGGCACCCAGACCATACCATCACCTGTGACAGCAGAGTGGCACAAGCCCCAGGATCTGTGGAGAGAGCAGGTTTTGGAGGGCTGGAAGGGATCCCTGCCGCTGGTGAAGAAATGCCAACTGGCATCATTTTCTCTGTCCTGGGACCAGGCAGAGACCTGGATTGCCCCACCCAGCCTCCAGCCTGGGACCTAGAGGTTATCTCCTCATCAAACTTGGAGAGACGGATGTCCCTCCCTGAAGCTGGAACAGGCACAGGCACATAAGCTCTGAGAGGGATACTTGACAGCAGCAGCAGCAAGCAGGTTGAGTCCAGATCTGATCCAACGCTCCTGCCACAGTACTCTGTGGGGCATCTGAGCCATGCTGAAAGTGATCCTACCAGCCTGTGCTGAGAGCAGGGGAGGGAGCTGAAAAAAAGTTGGAGTTACAGGAACGACCTCAGAGTGAGTTGTTTCTTTGCTTTTTTGGTTTGTTTTAGTATTTTTCTCTTCTCTCTGTCTTTGATTATGTTTTCATACTTGCTTTGTTTCTATTATTTTAATGCTTTTAAAAAAGATTTCCTGTTTGTGTATGAGTATTTTTGAGGGAGAGTACATCAATAAGGGGGTTTTGTCAGTTTGTGTGCTTGTACGATTGTCGGTTTGTTTTTATTAATCTTTTCTGTCTTTGTTTGTTTCTCTGTTCATTTGTTAGTTGGTATACCTGTCTGTTTACTCTCTTCTTTTTATCTCTCTCCACCTTCCTCCTTCCTTTTTAACATTCTTTTCCTTTTTCTTGCCTCATTTTGCTTTCAGGGGGCAAACATATACCCCTACTGCATGGACAGATCTAAGGCAGTGGGAAGTGGGTCCCAGGGGACCCACACACCTGACAGTGGGATCTGCAGATAGTTTCTGAATCACAGCTCCCCCCTCAATTAAATCTCAAAACTGCAAAAAGTACAGCCCCCCCAGTCCAGCTTCAGAATTGAACAAAGCCAGAGGATCTACATCAGGAAAAATAAGAGATTGATCAAACAGAAGTAAAAACTATCCCCCCATCACTGAACAACAGAATGAAAAAGGAGGTAAAAAAGGAGGGAGGGAGGAAAGTCTACACAAATGAAGAAAAACCAAAGGAAGAATATGGGTCTCACATAGACCTCTGGGATGTCAACCACTGAGAATACAGACTTTGGAACATAAACAATGAGGAGACTCCAGAATGACTTGTCTCAAACCACAAACCCAGATATCAAGATATCAATAGAGAGAATAAATAGAAATGAGGAGAGATAAGAGGAAAGAATGAAGAAGCTGAAAACTGAAATAACAGCAATAAGGAATACAGTGAATTAAATAAATAACAAACATATAAACATGGATAGCATAATTAACCAAGCAGAAGAAAGAATCTCAGAGCCTGAGGACCAAAATATGGAACTAGCCCAAACTGTTAACAACATAGAAAAGAAGCTTAAAAAGACAGAACAAAACCTCCAAGAGATGAGCAATTACTTCAAGAGGCTGAACCTAAGTTTAATTGGAATCCCTGAGGCAGATAGAGAGACAGAGACAACCCTGGAACAAACATTCCATGAAATTATTGAAGAAGGCGGGCTTGGTGGCTCAGCCTGTCATCCTGCACCTTTGGGAGGCTGAGGTGAGTGAATTGCCTGAGCCTGCAGGTTCGAGACCCACCTGGGCAGCCAGACCTCATCTCTACAATAAATCAAAAAATCAGCCGGGCGTGGTAGCGCATGCCTGTAATTCCGGCTACTTGGAAGGCTGAGGCGGCAGGATTGCCGGAGCCCAGCACGTCAAGGCTGCGGTGGCCGGGAGTGGCCACTGCACTCCAGTTTGGGTGACAGAGTGAGACTCCAACTCAAAAAAAAAAAAAAAAAAAAGAAAGAAATTACTGAAGAAAACTTCCCTCATCTCATCAGTGATGTGACCATTCAAGCACAAGAGATTCAGAGAACCCCTGCAGGACAACAAATGAGAAGATCAACTCCTAGTCACATAGTAATGCACCTACACAAAGTAAGTATAAAAATAATCCCAAAGGTAGCAAGAGCAAAAGGTCAGACTACCTACTGGGCAAGACCAATTTGACTGGCAGCAGACTTATCTACAGAAACACTTCATGCTACAAGAGCTTGGAGCCCAATCTTCAAAGTTCTCAAAGATAAACAATTTCAACCAAGAATTACCTACCTAACTAAACTCAGCTTCATCAGTGATAAAGAATTAAAATCCTTCCCAGACATTCAATCCTTAAGAGTTTATGCTGTCTCCAGACCAGCTCTACAAGAAACACTTAAGAAAGTATTAAACACAGAAGAAAGGAGAAAAAGAATGACAATGAACTTCCCAAGAATGTAGGAAACAGACTGAAGACACACATAAATCAACCCAAAAATCAAAAGAAAGACAACAAACAAATAAGCAAACAGCAGCAACAACAACAAACTTTATAAGAACCTCATGACAGAGTTAAACTCTCACATCTCAATAATTAGCCTGAATGTGAATGAACTAAATGTACCACTGAAAAGACATAGAATGGCAAAATGGATAAAATATGATGAGGCAACAATAAATTGTCTCCAAGAGACTCATCTCACCAGAAAGGACACTCACAGATTCAAAGTAAAGGATGGGAAACAAAATTTCAGGTGAATGAAACACAAAAGAAAGCAGGAGTAGTGATCATAATATCAGACAAAATATTCTTTAGGCTATTAAAAATTTAAAAGATACAGAAGGTCACTACATAATGATAAAAGGTTCAGACCATCAGCAAGAAATATCCATCCTAAACATATATGCACACATCATAGGAGCACAAACTTTCATAAAGCAGTTTCTAGGTAAACTAAAAAATTATATCGACTCTAACACTATCATAGTTGGAACTTAACCACACCCCACTCAAAACCCTAGACAGATCATCAAGGCAAAAAACAACAAAGAGATCTGGGACCACAATACGATGCTTGACCAAATGGACTTAATTGATACCTACAGAACACTCCACCCAACAACCATGGAATAGACATTCTACTTATCACCACAAGGAATGTACTCTAAGATTGACCATATCCTTGGCCATAAATCAAGTATAAACAAATTCCATAAGAATGAAATAATGCTACGTACCTTCTCAGACCACAGTGGAATAAAAATAAATATCAACACCAAAAAAGTTTCCCCAAAGCCCAAAAAGACACAGACACTAAACAGCATGATGCTAAACAACTCCTGCATCAACATGGAAATCAAAACAAGATTACAAGATACCTGGAAACAAATGAAAGCAAAGAAACATCTTACCAAAACCTCTGGGATGCCATGAAATCAGTACTAAGAGGGGAATTCATATCTCTAGGAATATACATGAAGAAATGGAAAGATTACAATTGAACAGCTTAACAAATCACCTAAGAAAGTTGGAAAAGCAAGGCCACAAAAGCCCTAACTTCAACAGAAGAATCACCAAAATAAAAGCCCAAATTCAGGACATAGAAGACAAAAATATAAAACAAAAAATAAACAAAACAAAAGGGTGGTTCTTTAAAAGGATAAACAAGATTAATGGATCCCTACCTAGACCAAGAAAAAGAAAAAGCCCAAATAAACACAATCAGAAATGAAAAAATTAAGTAATAATTGACCCTGAAGAAATACAAAAGATTATCAGAGACTATATGTACACTTGTATGGAAACAGACTTGAAAACCTAAAGGAAATGGAGGACTTTCTGACCTCACAAAATCTCCCCAGGTTGAACAAGAAGAAGTCAAGAGTTTCAATAGACCAATAACAATCCAGGAAATTGACTATGTCATAAGAAAACTACTTACAAAAAAAAAAAAAAAAAAGCCCTGGGCCAGATAGCTTTCCAAAAAACATACAAGGAGGAACTGATCGAAGCCTATGAAAGAATTCCAAGCAATTGAGAAAGATAGAACTCTCCCCAAATCATTATATGAAGCTAACGTCACATTGATACCCAAACAAAGAAAGATCCAACAAAGAAAGAGAACTAACTACAGGCTAATATCCTTGATGAACATAGATGCTAAAATTCTGAACAGGATTCTAGCAAACTGGATCCAACAGCACGTCTCTAAAATCATCCACAATGACCAAGTAGGCTTCATCCATGGAATACAGGGCTGGTTTAACATTCACAAGACCATGAATGTAATTAAATATATCAACAGATGTAAAGACAAAAACCACATGATTATATCATGAGATGTGAAAAAACCTTTTGATAAAATACAGCACCCCTTCTTGATAAAAACCCTATGTCATCTAGGCATAGATGGAACATACCTCAAAGTACTTAGAGCCATCTACAAGAAACCCACAACCAATATAGTGCTAAATAGATAGAAATTGGAAATATT